ATTATGTATACAGTGTTCTGCCTGTGTGTATACCTGCAGGCCAAAAGAGGGCACCAAATCTCATTCTAGACGGCTGTGAGCCACCACGTGATTACTGTGGATTGAACTCAGGACCTTTGGAAGAGCACTGATTCATCTCTCCAGCCCCATACTGCGTCTTTGGAATAATACACAAGACACTGTACAACAACATTGCCTCTTGTGGGGAAGAATTGTGTATTGCCGAAAGAAAGGAAATGGGAGATTTTGATGTATAACATGTTATTTGAGGAATTTTGAGCCAATAAGATGGTTGTGTAATTGCCATACTTAAAGCAAATGAGGATATTCTAAAAGAGTCCCTCACTCTGGCGATCTGGAACATTGAAAAAAGGCACCTCAGAGAACTAGACTAGACTTTTTCAGAAATTTCAAGCTGGGGGAAAGAAAAGGCTGAATGAAGCCTGGTGCTAGCCAGAGAGGGAGAAAAGGGATTTTTCATAGTGTGCACAATTTGTCAGACCATCTTACAAGAGAGAGTGGAACCCAGACAATGGTGCTTCCATGATGGCTGGGACCACAACTTGACCAGGGCTGCTTGATTCTGTGCATCCTTGCCTTCTAATTAAACTTGACTGTCATGTCAAGGCCCTGAAGAAAGATTTAGCAAAAGACCCTGTATGTCTCTTTGTCACTTGTCCCAGTGTGCTCACACCTGTTTCTGCTTTTCATTATTAATTTTGCTCTTTTAATTGGCTTGTTTAGGATGATTGGCAAGCTTGCCTTGTTAGGACTGCCAGGCCAGAGGCTCTGGCCCTAATACAGGCAGCAAACTGATTGTCTATTTAAACAAAAAGCACCTTTGAATTTAAAATGCAATGGAAGGAGCTTCTTGATCTGTTATTGCCCAGGCGTGTTCATAACATGTTATGTGAAATGCCTGATCATGTTTCCTGATTATGATCATGGCTTCACATATATTTCTTCTTCTTAGGACTGAGCTAATTATATAGCACAATATCCTGATTGACAATGTGGCCCACGTACCCCTGCTTATTCTTATTATTTACCATCAAGCATAAGTAAATAGAATAGCACTCTTATAAAAAGAGAAGAAAGACTTCGACTGCACATCAGTCATAACTTTTGAGTTCTCAAAAGTAATTTTTAGAATCCATAAACCATCAATTAGGAGTTTTTGTAACTTTTAAAACCTGCCATATGCGGAACTGGCCTTGGCCCTCCTTTATTCTATAATAAGAATATTTTTCTTTATTTTCTACAAGTCACAAATATTAAGAATTCAGCACTTAAAGGAAAATTCTGCCAGAGAGGAACTTTATGGACAGGAGAGGGGGAATGAAGGAAACAATCAATTTCATGTCTCCTGCCTTAAATCAATTGCCAAAAGGAAACCTTAGCAAATGTGGCTATTATATACAGCCAGACATGTTCCTGAAAATTGAAGAGCATTATGGTAAGTTGTTCCAGACACAAAAACTAAAAACTCGTAAGTGCAACATGGGACAGCTCAAACTGAAAAACAACGCTGGTATCTTAGGGTCATTGTGGGGGCTGTGGCTTCTGGGGGAAGAGAACACTTGCAGACTAACTGAACCAAATGCATATCTGTTACCGTTTCCTTCCTCTTTGGGAGTAGCCATGTTGAAATATTTGGTCATTTCCAATTGTCACTTGCTGTTCCCATCAATAACAATA